TGTAGGACGGACCGCTTTCGAAACCAGACAGCCGGAAAAGGAGATGGGCAGAACACTTCGAAGATCTCTTAAACGGACCCTTTCCAGCTAATGACGTGCAAACAGGTGTCCTAAACAGTAAAGAACTGAAAACAGACTGCTTCGTTTTATCAAAAAAAAACAAAGAGATTAAATCCGAGATATCATAAGTTTCTGTCAGAGTTAGAAATCTTTGGGCATGACAGAATTAATGCGGAAATTCTCAAATGCAAAAGTGAAACTCCATCTTGTTTCTGGATGCATATGGCGGAAATAAGAAATTCCTGAGGAACAAAACAGGGCCTTTTAAAGCGTAGGAACTACTTTGATTGCGGTACCTACAGCAGGTTCGCGCTTCTGCCAGTGCTGGAAATGGTATTCGCCCGAATCCTGTTCCGAAGATTGAAGAACTTAGTTGACGGTTCGCTACAAGGAAAACAGGAAAACAAACCGGGTTTGGAATTGAGTTTTCGTGCATGAAAAACATTGCTGTATTGAAGAAGATTGCTGAGGAAGGTAGGAGCTTCTGGCTGCCCTAAGGGGTTACATTCCTAATGTGTGACTTTTGAACTGTTGACTCACTAGATCATCAGTCTTTGTGTGGCGCACATTACATCGTTATGGGTTTCCGCAGTAGTTCATCGATTTGCTAGAGGGACTGTAAGAAGTTACTAAGCGCGTTGTCAGGGCAGGAAGACAGGTTTAGCATCAACATTGCAGTGCATCAAAGAGAGGAGCTTTCACCTCTATTATTCAACATGGTGGCGGAGTCTGTGATACGGAGAAGCATCATTTCCAGCATGAGTAAGGGAATTTCTGTCAGTCTCAGCCGTAGTTATCTAGTAGTTCTCATACGAAATCTCGAGTACGCTGATTTTGTTTTGTAGTACATACGACGTAAAACCGCTGAAAAATTGATAGATGCTGTCTACTATAGCAATAAATTTGATTTGACACCATGCTGCTGAGTGCTTCTGCTAACGGCTTAGTGACACTCTGAAAATGTATGAAATGTGTTATGAACGATGAGCACCAAAGCCAACCACACTAAAATGAAAATCTTGGAAGAACCCCACGCAACAAAATGCCCAAAGTTTGGAGCTACCATTAGCGCTTAGAGCTGATATCGACGATCTTTAGAAGTCTTTCTGAAGCGGCATAAGACCTATCTATCTGGACAGCAACCAGCATTGCCATATTGAAAGCCGTCGTCATTTTGATGCTGATGTTCAGCCTCGAAACACATCCTTTTGAAGCGTGACGAAAAAATGTTTGGCAGTTTTCAGAAGCATTGTCTGCAGAACATTTTGAAGGTGCGATGGCCCCTTCGAATAATAGTATAAAGATCTGGAGATGCCTTGTCTGAGAATGCTGTTTGGAGAAATCAGGAATCGGCGTCTTTTATGGTTTGACAGAGAAAGAAAACGAAGGCCTGTTCAAAGCTATTATCCTTTGGGAAACGATGAATGGCCGCCGACGCGTCCGAGGCCAACACCGCACGCTAAAATAGGTGTTTGAGGGGTACTCATTTGCTACACGGAGTATGACTTTTGCCACAGAAAACAACATCACCTAAAATTTTTATTCTAAAAATGCCAGAATCTCAGACATAATTAATTTAATTATCCGGTCTTTGACTTTGATACCTCACATGGCGATGAAAAAAATCATCAAAAATAAGGAAAAGGCCACCTTTCGAACCTGTGTTGCATATGAAAGCCGTTAGGAGAGAAAGCTCGCTCCTCATACTCACTACTCACCGGGAGAATGTCATGTGTGTAATTCCTGTCAACAAGATACCTAGGTGGATATCTGGAATTGCGCCTTCTTTCGAGAGCGAAACTTTCGTCTTTGTCAGGGTTAGCATTTTTTCTGAGAAGAAAATCGAGAACAATATTAAATGGCGAAACCACGCCCCCTCTTTAATTCCACAGTTAATGGGGAACAACTCAGATAACTTTCCGTCGATATTTGCAGCAGACATGGTTCCTGCATAGATCTCTTCCAAAATGGAAACGATATGCTCAGATGTTCTACAGTTTTATAAGATTTTCCACATCGTCGGATGTAGTCGTGAGTTGAATGTAGCCTTAAAATCCAAGGAACAGGCAAACCAAAATTGTCGGTATTGCTCAGTGATCCTACGGAGGGTTAAAATTTGGTCAGACCAGGAGTACCTTATACAGAAGCCTGCTAGATTTTGACGAAATCCCCTATCAGTTTCCTGTCTCGATTTTTTCCAGAATTA